CCACGTACATTGAGCCCACCGAGTTCAATTCGAGAAAGAAGGACCCCGACGCTTTGCTAGGGAACCTCTTGAGACAGCGAGACGAATTGACCATCAAGTTCATCGAGGCCACCATCAAGTGGATCGAGTCCACCACGCCGGAAGAGTCCAAGGGCTACCTCGACGAGAAAATCCGTCTTTCCAAGGCCAGAGCACAGAACTACGTCTTCTTGGACCCTTACCTCAGAATGAGAGGACCCCACGACAGAAACGGAGAAATCCTCAGCATCAGCTACTAATCTAATTTTTGCCACTGCCGTCACCGCTGGCCGGGGCCGCAGCAGTCTTGTGTTGTATTACTAGAACCTTTGGGATACAGTGAGGGGGGAACTCTAGACCACACGATCAACCATGCTTATGCGATCTGTTCGCTTCGGCATAATGATCGCCAGGAGCTTTCAGGGTTGGTCGCGTGGTCCTTGACGAGGAGACAAGCGATGTAATTAACATTGTACAATTAATGAACAATCGGACGATGACCCAATTGTGCGCGTAGGTGCTCTCATTACTCTTGATCGATAAAGATCAGCCTGTACTACATAGCTATTGTGGAAGTGTGCACAGCGCTATCGTGGCTTCACTTTTGCCCAAAATGGCACCCATCGCCAAGCACATGAATAAATACCAATATGTAGACCAATCAAGTCCGACTTATCTGTGTTTTTGACCACTCGGCTTACGGCTCGAGGTAGATCCGAGGCCTCTCGAGGCAGGATAGTCTAGAGACTAGCCAGGCTTTTAGTGAAAATCCAGGCATCCTCGGCTGCAAATCGAGATCAGACCACGGCTGGCTAAAATCCGGCCGAGTTCATCCGAAGGAGGCGTCTGGCCTTACAAGCCCTCGTCGTTGAACTTGAGTCTGTAGGGCATTTTCTGCTCGTAGTCACCCAAATGTTCAACAGCGTTTTCTTCAAACAGCATCCTGCTGTGAGACATGAACTCAACCACTCCACCAGCCTCGCCAAATGGCGTGGTGCAAGCGACCCAGCGAACAGCCTTTATAGGCGTCGTTCTCTTCTTTAGCGTGTGGTTCTCTTCGTATGCGATAACCACAGCCTGGGAGATGAAGGTTGCCTCTTTTTGTTGTTCATGGAGCTTCAGGCCCTGGATCAACATCGTCACAAAGTCCTCGAAAGAAATCTCGTAGTGGAAGTAGACATTCAAGAGGAGCTCCTCATAGTCGTCCACAAGCAAGATCCACTTCAGCGTTGTGTCCTGAGCTTGAGACTCCACCTTTCTGGTCTTGCCTGTCATTCCGGAAAACCAGTAGATCAAGGCCTTGGCTCGGTTGACGGGGGTGTTGTCGTCGAACTCCTCGTCCAATTGGCTGAAGTTGTCGGTGGTGATGGTCTTGTCGAATGGCTTCTTGCCCTTGAGCGATTCGTCGATTCCGTTCTTGACCCTCTCGCTGAGCACGTCGTTGGCCTCCTTCTTGACTTTGTCGAAATCCTGAACCTCCAGCTTGACCTTCTCGTCGCCTTCACTGACCAACTTCCACAAGTATGGGTAGGCGTAGTGGAGGTCCATGAAGAGGTTGTTTTTCCAGAGAGAGTAGTTCTCGGGTCCAACGAGCTTGGGCTGGACCTCCTTGAGGCCTTCCTCGTGTAGTTTTTGAGTATTCATGATGAAAATGGGTTGATGGGGTTGGTTGATTCGTATGGAGATTTCCAGAAATTAGAGAGGACTGTGTGGAGTGCGTAGAGCGTGGGGTCTGGCCAATGGGGGATGAATAATCCACGGTTCAGGAGATGTTATGGTGAAACAGGTGTCGTTGAGCGGGTTTTTGAGGTCACTGAATCGATTTTTGGGCTCTTTTGATAAAATGGACTCGATCACGTCGAGTTTCACTGAACCTTCAACACTGGTGTAGTGCATACAACGGTTTGGCAGCAACGGTGCTGCACAGACAAGTCTGGGGTCGAGGGCCTGGGAAATGGCTGCAAATGCGACAATGTCTGACGAGCCCACCAGCTTTCTACAAGTCCCTTCATGCGGCATGATTTATAAAACAACTAAAAAGAACTAAATTTCAACTCAAAATCAAATTTGCTTGGCCTCGGCACTTACAAAAGAGCCATGGCAAGACCGGCCAAAACAGCCTTCACTCCAAAGGAAGCAGCCTCACCAGCATTGTCAAAGGAAGAAACAACTGGGGCTTCAGAAGCAGCGGGAGCAGAGCTGGAAGCAACCTCTTCCTCGGCCTCGTGCAAGGAAAGAAACTCTCCATCGTCGTCAGAAGAGTACAAGTCTTCAGCATCAGAGTCATCAGCGCCACCATAGGAAGTCTCACCAGTAGGACGAGCACCTTGTCCAGTGTAGGCAAGGTAGGTTCTTTCACGGGTGGAGTCGCTTCCAGTGATGGTTTTCAAGGTGGTGGCAATGTCCTCAACACCGGCACCCTGGAAAGTCACGGTGAAAATATCGTCGTCTGAGTAAGTGTAGGTTCTAGCTTCACCATTGGCTTCAGCAGCTTCTTCAGCAGAGGTGCTCTGGTAAGTAGCTGGAGCAACGCTTCCAGAAGGAGACTCGTCGTCAGAGTCACTGTCGGGGTCGTTGTCGGTGTTGTTTCCATCGTCATCAACAGAAACAGAGGTGCCACTAGGCCACTCAAGGAAAACACCCTCGTCGTCAGAAGACCACAAGTCCTCTTCGTCAGAGTCCAGCTCGTTACCTTGGTCCAAGGTAGAAGCACCAGTAGGACGAGGACCCTCGCCAATCCAGGTGATGAAGGTTCTGGTACGGGTGGAGTCGGATTCGGTGATGGTGTTGGTCTTTGTAGCGATGCTGCTGACCTCGTCACCAGTGAAGGTGACGGTGAAGACCTTACCGTCGTCAGAGTAGACGTACGACTGGGTTTCCTCGGCCATAGCAGGCACAGCGATGAGAGCAAGAACAGCTGGAGCAAAGATCATGGTGATGTTTGATTTGTGTGATGAAGAGATAAATGAGAGAAGTGGCCGTATATTTATATTCTTTGTCAGAGGCGGTGTGGATCAAACAGCGTGAGCTGGGACACCGTCGCTGCTCCATGTTTACCGTTTGCTCCGGTTTAGCCAGTTTTGCAGCCATTTTTTTCTTGTCACTCGGATCACGGGTCAAATCAAGTCTTCTGCGAGGTTGGAAATCGCTCCACTATTGGTGATGCGGTTCTCATTGGGGAAGCAGACCAACTTGGGTTCAACAGAAATCGCCCAAACACAAAAGTTTTAGTTTGTCTCTTCCTTAGACTATCTTTCCATTACACAAAGCTTCTAGCGAGGTTCCCTGGCAGCAAAGCCCCTGAGGACCCTTTGTCAAACTGTGTACGGCTGTGGCAGCCGAGTTAAGACACATTGCATCGCCAGACTTTGCTATGCCTCCTTCAGGCAGCCTAATGAGGCTCAGGGGCCAAATTTGTCTATTTTTGTCACGGCCGCCTACAAAAGCAGAATCTGAGGCGTTTTTGGGGCAACTGGTCGTGTGATGCTTTGCTATCTTCGCAACCACAGCTGGACCGAAATCACCTGGGCTGGAATCACCTGGGCCGGAATCGGAGATATGTGGAGCAACAGCAAGAAATGGGTTCAGATGGTCTGGGGAAAACAGGGTCCGGACCATGTCTTGGTGTTCCTGATCCGAGATGCCACTATATGTGTGGAAGCCATTAAGCTTTGTAGTGTAATAATACCCCAAAACGTCGATATTCTTTCAAGCCTACGTTTTTTTTATCTCTTGTCATAGGGCACTCGGTGATGTCAATGAACTTGCCGGCCTAGTCTAGATCCGACCCAGGAGGCGTTTGACGAAGTGCCGCTACACATGGCTGCAAAAGGGTGAAAGTGTTCTGGGGTGCGCTATGGAGGTGTTGATATTCTATTTTAAGCACTGACCGGTGCATTTTTTTGCTTCAACAGCGGCTGTGTAGGTGTGATGAACGATTTTGGAGGCTATGGTGATCATAAGTCCGAAGACCGTTGATATGAGTTATCTGTAGAATGCAAGTGATATCTCTGGGGTATGTATCTGTCTATTAATAGCAATGCGATGATACCTCTATCGGTTCGCCAGATCAAGTCCGAAAGTCCTGATCTCGGGTAAATCTTGATAAGCTCAGTCAGTGGGGAAAGCAAAAGGGTTAGTTTTGGTTGCTCGGATTTCGGAAATTTGGTAGCTTAGTCAGTGCATTTGATCAGAGAGGCCGTCCGAGGAGGCAAGCACTGAAATGCAAAATTCACTGCTACAAAATTAATGATTGGAGAGCTAGTTTGGCATTGCTATATGTCAGTTTCCATATCTTTATTGCCATATGTCTATGCACTCACTGAAAGGTGGATAAATGCTACCATCCTGACTTGGATAGCTACTGTCACGATCAGCCTATTTTGACGCCATAACATGATATAGGGACTTCTGTGAACCGAGGAAGCCTATTCCCACAGAGCTTTGGGATATACTTACGATATTGGTTTGTGATCGGCGCTACTGGAACTAATATGTCCCTTTACCACGCCTTTCTTCCATGGACAACCCACCAACCATAGGTAGCCAGCAATACTCAAGACACGGCGTTTCCTGCTCCTCCTCCAGCAATCTATCAAAATCCACATCCAACGAGCCAGTGTTCCCACACAAATATTTCAAACAACACCTCCAAGAAAACCCCCATCTCTCTCGTTCCCACGGATGAGACCCACCAACCGAGGCGGCTGAAAACTTCCCCAAAACGTCCAAATCGTAAAACGCCCACCCCTACGTAGTGACAGCTCGTTTCTGCAACCCTAGTGGACATGCCATGCGAGGTTTGGTGCCCAGATACTGCCCCATCTCCGGCGTGGGTATTAACGTTCGGAGCCACAGACGTCACAAGTTGATACATTTACGTAGATACATTTACGTGGAGCACAAGAAGAAAGACCTTACAGAACAAGTAGGCTTGGCGCTATTGAAAACGTCAATTTCTTAAACAAACAAAACAAACGGTCTCACAAGAGAGCCAAGACGGCGGCTGCGAAAAACGTTCCAAGGCCGTTGCTAAGAGCAGCGCCGTTGTTTCCAGAAGTTTCAGAATCGGAGCTGCCAGAGTCCGTTCCCGATGTTCCAGAAGTGGTTCCAGAGGTAGCGGAGCCGGACGTTCCAGATGCTGATGTTTCAGATCCTGAGGTGGCCGACGTTTCAGATTCACCGGAAGTTTCAGATCCGGAACCAGAGGCTGAGGTGTCTGAGCCCAGTGCAGAAGCCAGGGTTCCTGAGTCGCTTGCAGAGGCTTCCGACGAGGCTTCGCTGCTTGCCGATCCACTAGCTTCCTCGGTAACAGCCTCTTCGTCCTCGTGCATGGCAATGAAAATCCCATCGTCATCAGACGAGTACAAGTCCTCTGCATCCAGCTCCGGGTCGCTCTCATCCGTATCGTTCAAAGAAGCTTCCCCTGTAGGGCGGGCCCCTTCGCCCGTATAGGTAAGAAAAGTTCTCTCTCTGGTGGAAGTGTCGCCAGTAATGGTGGTCTTTGTGGTCGCTATGTGCTGGACATTGGACCCAGAAAAAACCACAGTAAAGAGACGATCGTCCGAATATTCGTAGGTTCTGGCCTCCTCGCCAAGGGCTGGCGTGCCGAGAAGTGCAAGAATGGCAAGGTACAACATTGGCTATGGAGCTTGAGGGCTCCTTGCCTTTTTTGAGGAGGTTGGCATGAGGGGAATCCCTGAATGCCCGACAATGTTCGAGAAGCTCCCAGGGGTTTTGCTTACAATTCCGTTAGAGATAATTGGTGGAGATGGAATTTCCATAAACCAAGGCTTTCAGGTTTCTACTGCCGGGCTTATTGCAGCCATGCCTGGCTCGGATTTACCACCCACCGCAGCCGCGTGGCTTGCATCATGACGTTACGCCATGTCTCCTAACGTTGACCACAAGGGTACCATTTCATCATCCTCGGCAGCAGCTCATCGAGCTCATCGGAAAAGGTTACACAAAACAGAATAAGCCCATCTCATCGCCGGACCCTGGGAAAAGAACCGTGCCACGAGTTTGTGGGTGGATTTGCTGGGTGCGCTGTGATTGGCCCAGCATGTGAATTCCGGGGTAAATATTTCCCAGCGGAAGATCCCGAAGATCGTGCCAATTGGTTGCTAAAAGAGCGGAAATGGGATGCCTACTGCGGAGCACCGATTCCAGAAGCTTTCGGGTTTTTCTGTCAATGACTTGTGTCTCCATTACAGCACAAGGGCTACTGGCCAACATTGAGAGAGTCAACAATGAGGGAAAAAGAATGAGAAATAAATTTTTCACGCATGGCATGCGGCGTGCGGCGCCGAGACAGGGCACCATTCAGCGCCATGCGCTTCCTAAAAAGTGAGCCGCTGAGCGCAAATTTCACCGACAATAGCACTTTATCGAAGCTGGAGGTATGCTGCCTCGAGCACCCAAGGGGAATTATTTCGAAAAATTTGCTCATCTAATGCAATTGAGCCTACAGAATCAGTTTTTTACGGCCACGCGGCGGCGCATGCATTTGGGTTTTGAGCACAGCATATATTAACAACTTTTTACTTTTGCAGCCAGTCGCTGCCGCTTTCGGTTTAGAACAAACCAGCGAGGAGAAGAGCAGCACCAGCAGCGCCGAAAGCACCAGCCTTGACGGCGCCATTGTCGGACGTGGTAGTAGCACCGGTGCCAGTAGCAGTTCCGGTACCAGTACCGGTGGCAGTGCCGGTTCCAGTGCCGGTGGTGGTTGTAGTGTTAGAGTGGTTGGAAACGTTGCTTCCAGCGTGAGCATGGGAGTGGCCGTTGGAGTCAGGCACGAATTGAACCTCGGAAGAAGCAGCGTCGAAGCAGAACGTAGCAGTGCCGTGGGCGTGGCAGCCAGTGTAGCTCAGCTGGGCGTCACCAGTGGCAGAAGGAGCTGGGGTGATGGAGCCGTGGTTTCCGTCAGCGTCGTTACAGAACAAGTCGGAGCCGTGGTAGTGGCATCCGGTGATCTCGTCGTCGTCGCCAGAGCTAGAACCGTGGGAGTGGTCGTGGTCGTCCTCATCTTCGTGATCATGGTCGTGGTCATCGTCGTCGTGGTCGTGGTCGTGGGCAGCAGCAGAGCCCAGGGCCTCCGAACCAGTGGCAGTTTCTGCGACAAACTGGACCTCGTCGCTTCCAACCATACAGAAGGTGTCAGTGCCGTGGGAGTGACACGAAGTGTAAGACGAAGGAGCATCTGCGGTGGCGGATGGAGCCGGGGTTACCAAACCGTGGTTTCCATCTTCATCGTTGCAGAAGTAGTCGGAGCCGTGGAAATGGCAGCCGGTGACGGAGGCTGCAGCAGAAACACCAGAAAAGAGAGCGATTTGTCTGAACAACATGAAGCAAAGGTTATGTGGAAAATTAGCAATGCGTGCAGAGTCGCCAGTATTTATGGGGAGGGGGAATCAGCCTCTGAATTCTCCATTTATTAACGCCAAGGACTTCCTAAGCCGCCCTAACCACCATGGTCCCGCCGTTGCAGCCATTTATGCCTAGGCGAGCGGCTTGAGGTCCTGATCTGCAAAGCCTCTGCACGGCTGCGCTGCATGCCGTCTTTGCGTCGCTCACGATTGCATCCATGCAGTAGCTCCGTGCTAGCGCATCATTAGCGCCAGCCTCTGCACGATAGGCGCGGCTGAATGATCTAAGATCCATCCCCATCTCCGTGCCTTTGTGATCGTTTAGCTTTCTCCGGGGTGCTCTGCACACCATTTCAAGCCTACTAGGCTAGACTCGCGGGGAACCGAGCCCTGCTCCCCCTAATGCAGCACATGCGGCGCACCAGCAGCCACCTGCTGTGCCGAAGCTTGGCACTCCATTGTCGTGGCATAAATTACACCCCGGTGGTTGCAAAAAACTCTTGGCATCCCATCTCACGGCAGCACTTATAGAGCCCGCAACGGTTGCAAATTCTTCTCCTCAACCAAGTTTTTTTCTAATGCTCTGGAAGTCCTTGTATGCCATTGCTGCCCTTGTGGCCACTGCTCAAGCTGACTCCATCACTGGATGCCACGCCCACGGTTCTGACTACTTCTGTATCAACACCGACGGTGACGAAGGCCAGGTTCTGCCTGCTCCTACCGGTTCAGGCCCAAGCTCCTACACTTCTTGTCATGCTCACGGTGCTGACACTTATTGCATGGACGGCTCCTCCGAGGTGTTGTTCGAGGTTGAAGGTGGCAGTGCTGCCAGCAGTGTGGATGCTCAAACCACCGCGGTGACAGGCTGTCATGCTCACGGTGACGACCTTTTCTGTATCGACGGTGCCGGAAACGAGGGTGTCATTACGCCTGCTCCTTCTGGTTCTGCTGCTCCTGAATCCTTCACTGGATGCCACGCTCACGAAACCGATACCTTCTGTTTGGACAGCTCTGGAAACGAATACCAGTTTGTTGCCGAAGAGGCTTCCAGCGGTAACGGTGACGAGGACGATGAGGAGATGGACTGCCACTACCACGCCGGTGTGCCCCACTGTGTGCCTAAGAGCGGCAGCTCCTCCCACTCCCACGAGGCCACCACCTGTGACGTTCCTGAAAACGACTACGACATTCCCTTGAGAATCGGCCTTATCTTTGCCATTTTGGCCGGTGACTTCATTGGTGTCTACGCTCCCCTCATTGTCAAGAGATGGTTCTCCGACCACATGGACGGCATCCTTGTCACCTTGTTCAGACAGTTTGGTACCGGTGTTGTTCTTTCCACTGCCCTTGTGCACTTGTTGACCCACGCCCAGATGTTGTTCGAGAGTGACTGTTTGCACACTGAGTACGAGGCCACCGCCACCTCCATCGCCATGGCCGGTATCTTCATTGCCTTCTGCATTGAGTTCTTCTTGGGCAGATGGTTGCAGTCCAGAATCAACACTCTCAAGGCTGCTAACGGTGTCACTGGCTCCGAGGAGGAGGGCAGATCTTCTGACGACGAAAAGGACAAGATCAACGGCAAGAACCTGGCTGACGAGCACGACCACGAGGAGCACAGCCACCACCACCTTGACGCTGTTGCTAAGCAGGACAAGGTTGCTGTGGGTCTCTTGGAGGCTGGTATTGTTTTCCACTCGGTTCTTATTGGTATCACGTTGGTGGTTAACCCTGACGACAACGGATCTTTCATCACTCTTTTCATTGTCATTTTGTTCCACCAGATCTTCGAGGGTGTTGCATTGGGTACCAGAATCGCCGAGTTGAACACCATCTCCATCTGGACCAAGCTCGCCATGGGTGCCGGTTTCGCTGTCACCACCCCTGTGGGTATGGCCATCGGTATCGGTGTGTTGAACCAGTTCAACGGTAACGACCCCGACACCATTGTCGCTTTGGGAACGTTGAACTCCTTGTCTGCCGGTGTTCTTTTGTGGGTTGGTCTCATTGAGATGTTGAACCACGACTGGCTCCTGGGCGGTCTCATGAAGGCCCGCTGGTTCAAGGTTGCCGTTGGCATGTTCGGTTTGGTGGCCGGTATGGCCTTGATGAGTTTCCTCGGTAAGTGGGCATAAGCTAATTAATAATATTTTAGAGATTAATGAGAGAGTATTTCGTGAAGCATGTTGTAGGCTGCTCACTTACATGGCCAAATTGCATCCGTTGATGATTTCATCTGCATCGTCTAAATTGAAAATTTTCATCGTCATCTAGGCGCTAAGCCTTCGAAATAGCTTTAGCCCTCGTGCATGCCTTTTGTGGCTTGGGAACAAAGCACAATCTTATCATGCTTTTGCACAGGCGTGTCTCCAGTTTTGTGCCAGGGTCCCTTCAAAGCCTGACCACTATACCAGACCATGGTTAAGAACTCTATTATATAAAGAGCTTCTCCTCCCGGGCCAAGGCGCTATCGTAACAATGCCAAATAAACTCAGCAGATTTGGTAGCAGTTTGAAGCGACTTTTTTCAGGACGGGCTTGCGTGGCCACGCTTAAAGGATGCTGGCGAAGAAAATCCAGAGAACCAAGCCACTCTAGGGTCGAGTGATGCTAAGAAATGTGCTACTTACAATAAACCGCGTTGTTTGTGTAACATGTTGAATCACTTTGGGAACAATGCCTCCCGGCTCGCATAACAACGAGCAATTTACCTCTGGAGATTCAAAGGGGTTTGGAAAAGCTCAACCTGGGATTGGTCTAGATGGGGTTTTGGTGTCCGATTTCGGAATATTGGAAACCATTTTTGTGCCACGACTATCAAGGATGAGTTGGTTTCAATTCCGCTTGAAAGTCGAAGGTGACGAAGTATGACGAATTTTGCAAATGTGGAAGTGGTGGCAAAAAGCTGGGCTACCAGGTTATTGGTCGGGGAAAGCAGTGTATCGCGCAGCTGGCCTCCATCTCATATAGTGATAATACAAGCCACAAACGGGCAATTGTGGTAGAAGTAGGCTCACCGTAACCTAGACATCGTCAAGCCCTATCAATTCAAGTTTTATTCAAATCCCAGCCGTTTCCGATTTTTGGCAGGGCTTTTAATTTATAAGTTTCTAATCTCCGCGCATTATCGCAGTACGTTATCTAAACGCAGCTGGCGAATTGGAGACTCCAACAATCGACAAAAATCGGAATACCTCGTAAATTCAAAAAAAACCTGGACAAGCGCTCAGCACCAAACAACTCGGTTTACGAGCGGAGCACTTGGCGCTTCGATGGAATAAAACAAATGGTGGCAAAATTCCATTTTCGTATAGGCGGCAAGCGATATAATCTACCCCGGTCGCTGCTAAACTTTTCTGATCTTCTTCGCATCCTGGCACTTTCAAAACCTGACACTAGGCAACCTCTCAGAACTATGCAAATGTCAGCGTCAGATCACAATACACAAACGCAAGAAGGGGCCCTTCACTGAACGGCACCCCGTGCTTATGGCGGAGACGAGAAGGGGTCTTTCACTATGGAGCCGTTCGGGTCGTTGGCATAACCTCCGCTCGTCCTAAGATGGACGTTGGAGCACGGCTGATCATCTGCCAAGCGGTGACCCAAACAGCATCACCAACGACTCCACCTTGGAAATGCATTTCCCAGAGAGGAGAGGTGCAACTACGAACGGCTCGAACCTAGGGTTAGTGGAGACTCTGTGGTAGCTATGCGGCGGTGGTAGTGCCAAGGCCCTGGCCAATTGGACCCTGGCGATAAAAATGCTCACTGAGGCTATGACCGTCGCTATTGTTTGGGACCCTTGCAACCGTAAAGCCCAAGCCTATGTGTCACAGGGCCATTCGCCGCAAACTCGACGTCTTGCTATGTGTCTGAACACAATAGAGAGCGGGACCGGCGGGGCAGCGATGAGTCGCACTGAGTCAGGCGGTGGAGGAGGTCTCATGGGGAGGTACCGTGGGGAGGTACCATGGAGGGAGGAAATCATACAACATGATGAACGCTGAAAGACTAAAAAAATAAAAATCTACTTCACCTCACCAAATGGTGCTCCCCCGCCAAGGTATCTGAAACATCAGCCCAAGGCGGAAAAAAGGTGTTTTCAGATCTCCCGCGGAGCACCGGCTAGCAAGTCCTGTCCAATGATCTTGGCCACATTGCCAGGCCACCGATTCCATGCATGGCTCCCACACGGCGCCATTCCGATGACGGAGGCTTGTGGCATCATTCCTGACCGATTCCGGGGGATCGTAACCCCGGTGGGGCTGCACTCGGAGTCGCTATCAGAGTGAGATTACAAAAATTTAGCCTTTTGATAAGTCACAGGCGCCCGATAACGGGCGCCCAGGGTCTTGGACGTCTTGGACGTCTTGGAAGTTTGCCTGGCAGGTGCCCAAACCCGAGCCCAGAAACCCACCTTTGATAAGGTCTCAAGCCGAGGACGTTGGCGGACTCACAATACGAGGATGCGGCGTTTCGCAGACGAGCCAGAGGACGAATATTTTTTTGTTTTATCGCAGCGTGAGGCCCACCGTTGATCGCATTTGTGGCCCCATGAGGAAACCTCCTCCTTCGTGCCGCCTTTGTTCGACATGGGGGACCTTTCTCCAGAGAAGGTAATCGTGGGGGGAATTGTCCCATTTGCAACAAGGAATGAGCCTGAGATTGCGTTTCGTTTATGCCCCTCTGGCTTGGCTTGCATGGTCCCGCGAACCCAGTGCACTGCTAATGGTTGCAAAAGGGCATAGTTACCTGCCAAAAAAGCAAAAACAGACACAAAAAGAGAATCGCTCGTAATGCTGGATCGCCGTGAAATACTCCACTGCGCTTTTGGCCCCGGAAAATTCGTGAAACCGCGTTGATGAGTGCCCCTCCTGCTACCGCCAAGACCTTCCGGTGCTGATAAGACTCCATTGGAGCCGTACGGTGGAGCCGCTTATCAATACCGCTACAAGAAAAGTGACGACTCAACAATGCTGAGAAGCAAGCGGCGCAGCGGACGAGGTTTGCAAAGATCCAACTAAGTGAGACAGCTCAACGCACCAGGGCCAAATGTCCCACGATCCAGAGTAGCGCACTGCGTCAGGTTTAAATAAAAGTGAAATTTCGCCAGAAGGGCCCTGCCAGCCGTGTGGCACGCATGCACATGCGTTTGGCAGCTGGGGAAAAAAGTCCCGCCTTGTCACAGAGTGCTTGCAAAACACCAAGAAATATGGGGTCTTGGTTCGGGCCGACAAAAGCGCACGGCACCAGGCGTGAGCCACAGAGCTTCGCTACAAAGCTATCGAAGTGGAGGAGAGTTCTTGGTATTTGATTTTGCCCAGCGGCTTATGGCAGGAGACATAAATACACGATGCCCTGGCATGCTGCAAAACTTGTTCCCTAATCATGAGCACCCAACCACAGCCTGAGCAGGAGAAGGTCGCTCCAGTGTTATCTAGCATTGTGAGTGCTGGCACCCATAATGAGGTAGCAGCACACGATATTGATGTTGACCAGGCGCAAGACGTTGCTATTGAGGATGTTGCTTCCAGTCTTTCTGCTGAGCAGAAGTTCTACATTTTGAAGCGTCTCCACTTTGAGGGCTTGGAGACCCTTGAGAAGTTGCCTGTTGCGGCGACTTTTATGTTGGAGAAGATCGACTCCATGCTGGTGGAGGAGGCCTTGGAAGTGTTGAAACTTTACTTGAAGGAGCACGACGAGGATGTCAATATTCCCACCGAGGAGTACGATTTCATTGAAAAGCTCTACAACCATGCGCCTGATTTCCTTGCAAACCCGGACTTTGTCGTCAAGGACTCCACCCTGGACCTCGACGAAAAGAAGGTAAATGTCACCACCAAGGAAAAGGAGTCGACCTCTGACTTTGAAACCACATCTACCGACCAGGAGGCCCACGAGTTTGAGATCCACGACTGGAACTTGCAGCTTCGTACTGAGGCTGTCATGATTGCTTACCACTCTCCCTACCCTGAGGTCAGATCCGTCACCAACCCTTACGATGACTTTCACCTTCCTGTGGAGACCTTCAGAGTGTACTTCTTGGGTATCATCTGGACAGCCCTTGGTGCCTTTGTTAACCAGTTTTTCGCCGAAAGACAGCCAGGTATCTCTTTGAGAGCCTCTGTTGTCCAGCTTTTACTTTATCCCTCGGGTATGTTGATGGCCCGTATACTTCCACACAAGACTCTCAGATTCTGGAAGTGGACTCTCAACTTGAACCCAGGTCCTTGGAACTACAAGGAACAGATGTTGGCTACAATTTTCTTCTCCGTGTCCGCTGGTACCCCCTACGTCTCTTTCAACATTCACGTCCAGAGACTTTCTCACTACTACAACAACCAGTGGGCTGACTGGGGATACCAGATTTTGCTTATTCTCGCAACAAACTTTATGGGATTCGGCTTCGCCGGTATTATCAGAAAGTTTGCTGTCTACCCCGTCAGAGCTATGTGGCCTACCATTTTGCCTACACTTGCCTTGAACAGAGCTTTGTTGATGCCTGAGAAGAAGTCCGTTATCAATGGATGGACGCTTTCGAGATACAAATTCTTTTTCATCTTCTTCGCCATTTCGTTCTTCTACTTCTGGCTCCCCAACTACCTTTTCGAGGCTTTGTCTTACTTCAACTGGTTGACTTGGATTGCACCTGAGAACTTCACCTTGAACTTGGTTACAGGTTTTATCCAAGGCCTCGGCATGAATCCTATTCCTACTTTTGACTGGAACATCATCAACTGGAACCTTGCTTTGACACTTCCTTTCTATTCACAGTTCAACCAGTACATTGGAACCCTTCTTGGATTCTTCATTATCATTGCCATGTACTACACCAACTACCACTGGACTGCCTACCTTCCCATCAACACCTCCACTTTGTTCAACAACAAGGGTTTCCGTTACGAGGTTGAGGATGTTGTTAACGAACGTTCTTTGTTCGTGAAGGAGAAATACGAGGAGATCGGACCACCATTCTACTCCGCTGCCAACTTGCTTGTCTACGGTGCCTTCATTGCCTTGTATCCATTTGCTTTTATTTATGAGGTGACTTTGAACTACAAGCCTATGTGGCACGCTTTGAAGCACTTGGGAGGTTCTTTCAAGAACTTCAGAAAGTCGACTTTCGAAGGTTTCAGTGACCCACACACCATCATGATGAAGAAGTACAAGGAAGTTGCTGACTGGGTTTTCCTCCTTGTGTTGATTATTTCTGTTATTCTTGCCATAATCTGTGTTCAAGTATATCCAGCAGAAACTCCCGTCTGGGGTATTTTCTTTGCCCTCGGCATTAACTTCGTCTTCTTGATTCCGCTCACTGCCATCTACTCCACTACTGGTTTCCAATTCGGTCTTAACGTTTTGGTCCAGATCATTGTTGGTTACGCTATTCCAGGTAACGGTCTTGCCTTGAACTTCATCAAAGCTTTGGGTTTCAACATCAACGGTCAAGCACAGAACTATATCACTGATCAAAAGATGGGTCATTACGTGAAGATCCCACCAAGAGCTCTTTTCCGTTGTCAGATGCTTTCTGTTTTCATCTCATCCTTCATTTCTTTGGCTGTCATGAACTTCATGATTGACAACGTCGAGAACTACTGTACTCCTGAGAGCAGACAGAAATTCTTGTGTCCACAATCCAATGTCTTCTTCTCAGCCTCGGTGTTGTGGGGTGTCATTGGTCCAAGAAGAGTGTTCGGTGGTCTCTACCCAATTTTGCAATGGTGCTTCTTGCTTGGAGCTCTTCTTGCTATTCCATGTATCTTATTCAAGAAGTACGCTCCTAAGAGGTACACCAAATACTTCCAACCTTCCTTGATCATTGGCGGTATGTTGATTTACGCTCCATACAACTTGTCGTACTACACCTCAGGTGTGTATGCCTCTTTTGCCTTTATGCTTCTCATCAGGAAGAAGTATCAGGCATGGTGGGAGAAGTATAACTATGTTTTGTCTGGTGCTTTGGACGCGGGCGTTGCATTCAGCAGTATTATCATCTTCTTCGCAGTTCAGTATGATGAAAAGCACATTAGTTGGTGGGGCAACAACGCCCCTTACTTTGGACTTGAAGGAGCCGGAGGACACAGTTTGTATAACGCTACAGAGCACGCTCCAGAGGGCTACTTCGGCCCCCGTGTTGGTCATTTCCCATAAGGATTTGAGTGAAATATTTAAGCATATGTTTGTTAATATAATTTGATGTTACAGCCATCGAGTAGAGACATGGTCAAATGGGTATTCTTTTTTGGGTCTCCTTCTCCATCAAATGAGCCGATGTTGGAGAAGCTCTGCAAAAGCCTCACTGTAACATAGGAAGCCTCGGTCAAGGCAAACTGCTGACCCAAGCAAATACGTGGACCGCCATTGAAAGGAAGGAAGCCCCACCCCACTTTCTTGAGATCAGGCTCACCCCATCTTTCAGGTCTCCAAACATTAGCATCTTTTCCGTAGATTCCTGGATTTCTGTGTGTTGCAAAAATGTTGTACACAACAACGGAGCCCTTGGGAACAAACACCGGTTCCGTTTTGTTTGGTCCGCCTCCTCTTGGTAAAGTGGTATCACGAGTTGCTAATCTGGAGTTTTGAGGAACAGAAGGGTACATTCTGAGAGTCTCGTTGAGAACCCATTTGAGATACTCGAGCTTCTTAAGAGACTCAAAGGTCATTCTGCTCAAGTCGGCATTTTCACCTTCACCAAATGCTTGGACGACTTCCTCACGAAGCTTCATAAACACTTCTGGATTTCTGGCGAGCTCGAAAAACACAAACGACAAAAGACCAGCAGTTGTGTCTCTGGCTGCAATGAGAATGTTCAAGCACTGGTCTCTCAACACCTTGGGGTCTCTGGTCTGCTTGACCAATTCATACAAAAAGACGTATCCACCTTCGGAGTTCTTCTCAACCTCCTCTGGAGAAGCAGCAAGAGCCTTTTCAACGTAGTAGTCGGCGAAGTTGTGCACGATTTTGTTGCTCTCCTTGAACTCCTTCGTATTGAGGAGAAAGTAGAGATTCTGAAGCCCCATTCTCATAAGAAGGTACATCTGAGAAGTGTTAAAAGCCTTGGGGAACAGCTCCATCTCAGCAGGTCCTGGGAGATCAGCATAGTCGGCAATGTCATCCTGAAGTGAAGCACAGGATTCACCAAACAAAAATTGAGTTCCAGAGTCGATCGTCAATTTGAAGAAAAGTGGCTGAAGATCGAATTTATTCCCGCCGGCAGCCTTTGCCCGACGAATAACCTGCTGCACGTGTGGCTCCAACATCATAACATGAGAGACCTGCTCTCTTGCAAACTGAGGTCTGAGCATAGCCCTGGAGTGTTTCCAACCAGGGCCATCCAAGGTGAAGATGCCGTCGCCAAGAACGACCCAAAACTGCTTGTGACGAAGCCCTAAAGAAAAGTCGTTAAACTGAGTTCCCAAAACGGCCTTGATATTCTCTGGATCACGGGTGCAAATTCTCATAGTGGCCGTTGCCCGCAAGGTGAATGTATCCGCCTTCATTTTGTTGTACAAATCGACAAAAAGATTGGGGATCTCGCCAGTCTTACGTCTCCGTAAAACCTCACGGGTAAACCAGAATCCAAGAGTATGGTCATTGAAATGTGGAGGTGATGAAGCACCCAGTTGATAGTACCGGACGTAGTAGCTGAGAGCCGAAAAAACCCTATAGGCTACCACGACGATGGGAAACCAGGCCCACCATGGGATATTTTCGTAGTTGAGAAGTTCCATAAAGAATAGTTGTTAGGTATCAAAACTCGGCTGAACAGCCCCCTTTTATGCGGAGCGGAAGTTTCTTTCACAATAGCCGATCATTGTTTCCAAGATGTGCTCGGCACCGTAGATGTTTCTGCGACAGCTACATACCTCGGAGTTCAAACTTCTCGAATTTGTTGTATTTTGGATACTCTATAACCTTTCAGACTACGTATTATCACTAATTTCATCTCGAGATTCTATCTTTCACAGTAGAATCAAAGCTCAACTGTCGCAGCGAAAGCGGGGATGTGGGGAAGCCACCATGGGTCTCGTTTTCTCGCTTATGAGAGAATGGAGATTACACAGTCTAACTCCGACTTGAGGGTGGGTTTCCTCTTGCATATATCAACTGCTACTGCAAGTGTCGGGCTGAATTCGAGATTACCTCCGCCTCTAATCTCTGGGTGCGGCTTAGCCGATCTGCAAAAGGAGACACCACAGTGATGCTTCGCCAATAGAAGAAATGCATTTCAAAGCAGAATTATTTTGCAGGTGAGACCTGGTTAGCATCATAAAATCTCAGTTGTCAAAACGAAAGTCAAGACGTTTGTTGCCCTTGTCAGTGGTTTCTGAAATATAGGTCTGCTGCTCCTCCTCTGACATGGTTTCCCAGATCTTATCTCTCTGTCTGTTCTTCCAGACGTAAAAGAACTTTGTGCCAAGCATGATGGGAAAAACACTCACCATGATGAAGAAAAGCTGCATGTTGCCTCTCTTATACTTGGGCAAGTCATCCTCTCGATACATGTTGAAACCAATGATACTACCAGCTTGAACGAACATATTGTACAAGGCTGAACAAATAGAACGAGATTCGATGGAATTGGCATTTCTCGACACCCAGGCAACCACGATAGTATGGATGTAAGGTGCAGAAAGCACCATGGTGACCAAAAACCAGGTGACCCAGGCATTCTCCATGGTGCCTTCCCACCACCTCATAGCTGCCAAAAATGGTACTGTCATCACAGGCAACGATAGACATACAAAGCCTCTTTCATCGACGTACTCAGAAAACCACGTTGCTGCAAGCATGAAGATAATTTGTATGATGTGCAGCGGGATGGTCAACAAGTTGGAATCGAACGTACTGAACCCAAGATTTCTCATTGCCAATACCATGTATGGCTTTACTGTCCGCATCGGAATATAAGCAAAGAGACCAATGAGGTAGAGAGGCCACAAGTTGTAGTCGAAGAGGGAACGGATTATCATCCTTAGAGACAACGCTTGTCTATTGTGCATACCACCTTTCGATGGATCGTCTCTGAGAATTCTGTTGACAACGATTTTCTCCTCCCTCTCAGTGAACCACCCTTTGGGGTGCAATTTGCTCCTCGTCTGAACCGCCGAAGGCACCATCATGTAAAAAGACCAGAGTCCAATGAGAAAAGTACCAGCTCCTTCTAATATGAAGAGCCATTGCCAGCCGGTCAAGCCACCAATGCCTCTCATTCTAAGAATAGCAAATGCAAGCAAAGAAGTTATCACTTGTGTGAGAGCTAAAGCCGTCCAAAAGTAGGACAACCGAAGGGGGAGCTCTCCAGATTTGTAGAAGTAAGAAAGCCAAAGCACAATGTCCGGAATAAAGCCACCCTGAAACATACCAATCAAGGCCCTGCAAATCAAAAACCCCGTTCGGTTATGCATAGCACCCTGGCACATTCCGACAATACACCATGAACAAATCTGAATGGGAATAAAGATATCAGGACCGATAGCCTTGGAAATAATCTGAGATGGAAGCTCTGCGGCCAAGAAGAACACAAAGTTTATTGTGTTTCCTAAGTTGTAATCGTCGGTATCCATATTCATGTCTTCCAAGAAATTGTCAGCAACTGCTTCGTGTAAGTTTCCTCTATTAACTTGTAAAGCTGCAAACATGATACATGCACTGAGAATGACTCGTAAGTCCACCTTTCGCATCACCTTTTTATCTTCCTCTGGAGTCCATTCCATAAGAGGATCGAAGGCTGCTCGGCATTCGTACTTACTCTCCTCATATACTTTTGCGTAGTGCTCAGCCAAAAAAGGATCTAGAAACGGGTTTTTGAGGTCTGGTGTTTCCTTTGAATCCAATTCCAGCAGTTCACGGCTGTCACAGCTTCTCGCTTCCTTTGCTTGGATTTTGGAGTCAGATTTCAATTCTTCGTGGGAGATTCCCGATTTGATGCTGAAGTCAGAAGATTCAGTTTTGTCTTTCTTTGCTGTGCTCATTAGTTGATCTGTCAGGCACAAGCATTCTTCGCCTTACTCTTATACTCTTTGAGACTATGGCTCCTTTATTGCAGCACGCCATAAAAGCTTAGCTACATTGTTATCGGAAGTTATTTTTCGAGACCTCATGAATCTGGTAACGCTCGAAAACCTGGAGAAATGTACTACCTTTCAGGACGAGGCATCAAGAGGTAAAGAAAAACAGCTTTTAGCAGCAATTTGAAGGGATTGAGGTCGTTTTCAGGAGATATGATCGGAAACACGGGCTTTGTGTGCCGCCACAGTTGCCAATTCCTATTATCCTACCAGGTGCCAAGAATGCCATCAAGCTCATAAGAAATTCTGTCTATATCTCCACTGGTTCATTTTCCCGTGACAAAAGCGGTATATGCATAAAGAAAGGTTCCTCGTCAAATCGAAAAAAAATCAGTTCATTATTTTAATTTTTCAGTCGGTATCATCGACATTCACAGAGTTGTCAAAATGACTTGTTGGGAAGCATGCAGTCGCTAACAGTATTTGCACCCATGATGTCGCAATCCGCCCGATCGCTCATGCATTTGTTGTATGCGCAGTGGGTTAAATTGATCATATCTCACTTTTCATCCCCTCAATCTCGAGCATCACTTTCATTAAGTAACATTAATTGAGAAGAGTTTCAAAATTAATGTTTCTGGCTGAAGTCAATGCCTTCTTAGTTCATCAAAAATGGCTTTAACATTATTGGCCTCGATGTGCGTCTCAGGCACCTTTCTTATTGTTATAATCTCACTGGCCAAACGATAAACTTTCCGACTCGGTGATTTCGCAATTCATTGTTGCAAACAATAAGAACGATCTAGTATTCGATACCTCGCCTCTATAGAGATCCAAGCTACCGACTTTCTCTTGCTTAATTGACCTTGTTGAAGCATTCCATTCGACCTTTCACCTGAACGAACCGGACTACTTCTTGGCCATTTTCTTCTGAACACGACAAGAGGCTTTTTTTCAATCAAAGTAACATGTTTTGGGTCGCTCAACGGATACGGCAAAATCGGTGAAAACCTCTGCATACGCCGACCGATTTATCCGAATTTACGAATCTAGTACTTACCATTTCCAATATTCTTAAGGCAGTTTTTAAAATAGCGATGCAACATATGGCATGATAGCCTTGAGAGATTTGCAACTTCAGGAATTTGGTGAAACATATGTCTCAAACTTAAAAAGCATCGAAATTGCGTAGTGTCAATTCATCTAATGAGCACAATGGTTGTAGCTTTCATCTATCTGCTAGGGTGCCCTAAATTTGCATATTCCTTACTCAAGGATGCTCTTCTACAAAAATTCTTTGCAAAGAACTCCTACCGATATGGTTCATTCTATGTGCCATTGATTTTCAGGCCGTAAAATTGACGAATTGGCAAAGTCACCCTCGGGATCAACTTCTTTGCCCAAAAAAATAAATTTTTGGATTCGGTAAATACTTTTTAAAAATCGTTCGACTTTTAAGCTTCCATGAAGGTGGGGAAGCCAAAGCTAAGCTCCAAAGCGTTACAGTCTTGGCTAGTATCGAGAGCCTCACAACCACATGTCAATTGGATCTAAGCGATTGATCTGTAGTTTACCTGGTATAAATGTTGAAAAATCTAAGCCAATAACAATTGCAAGCCAGCTGAGACCACTCAAATGAGTTTCTACCTCATTCTGCTCATTCCGAGGCATTTCAACACTTCTTTCGAAACAAACCCTAAGGCTAACTTTGGCACAGAGGCGTACGTTGCAGACGTCGAGAAGGCGAACGAACGTCTAGATCTGCCGTAAAAGCACGTTCACCAGCCTCACCCAAATCGATGTAGGATGTTTACCTCGGGGAGAACGGATATTCTACAGAATCGAGAATATGCAGCATGATGTGGCGAAGGGTGCAGATTCGCTTAAGCAGGGTTTTGAGGTTAAAAATCGTCAGTTTTGGCGGTTTGTGGTGGATCCGCTATATCAAGCGGCTTTTCCCGGTCCTGAAATTCATCGAGAAGGCCGCTTCCCATCTAGACCAAGGCTGAAATTGTAACATTGTTCAACAAGGGCAAGGGAGCAGATCCAATGCACGAGGAAATAATAATTGAAAAAAACGTCGGTGAAATTGCCGCTGAACGCAATTTAAATAATATTTGGAACCCTACGGGTCTCACGTGTGCAAAATATTCCTGCTTTTGCCGTAATTCCTGCAAGCAGCTCATCATATAGAACACTTCCATGCGTCTACGCACTTCGGTTTTCTGCATACGGACAAGTCACGGAGATATTTTTGGCGCTTTCTCTTTGTATCAGCCTCAAGAAACTAAGATCGACCTTAGCGACTGAAATGAGGCCACTATGCGCTTATTTCCTTGGAGGCAGCCGCTTTAAACCCGCAGTGTGTAGAGGTGAATATTTGCTCGGGGCAACGTGGGTCGACATTGAGGTAGAGTGTGGGGGTGAGGCAGGACCGTTTTTCCGTTACATGAGCACCTTGAAACAAGATATGCATTTTCCAATTTCATTTCAAATTTTAGTCGGACAATCCCTGCTTGGATCTTCAATTTTTGGTCATCAGAATTACCCACGGAAAATCTGGGTGAGCGATATTACAACGATCTGCGTTCGCAACATGCAGCCTGGAAGGTATGTGAGGCTGAAATTAGGTTGCAAAAATGCAAGGAAGCATCGCTTAGAATCGTATTTTTTAGCATGTCTTGGAAGCCTGTCTTGGCAACATGGGGCATCCTTGCAAGGGTGCAACATCACAAAAACCGTTGTTTATATAAATAGTAAATCCCATCGTGTTTCCCCGGCAGCTGCATTCCACCATGAATTTCCTTATGCTTTGGATAGGCATCCTCCTCCATGTCTCCATGACTATGGCGGCTACGGTGGAGGGTGTTTTCAACTCCATTCTGTCAATTACGGACCCTGGTAATACTCGGCCAGGAAGCGTCAATTGGAAAGCTTCGGTGAATTGGAAAATCACCAGCGACATGAAAATGAAGGGAGGCGACACCTTCACCTTGCATATGCCTTACGTTTACAAGTTCACCAGTTCGTCCCACACTTTGCAAGTTCAAGCTGGTGGATTGGTTTTGGCGGACTGTAACTTGTTTTCCGGAGACAACATAGTGGGATACTCCGAGGTCCAATGTACTGCTACTCCAGACGTTGAAACCGTCGCAACGGCCTCTGGTATCATTTCATTTGCATTTACATTCAACTCTGGTTACTCATCTGACGCAATTAACCTTGAGGCTGCTTCTGTCTGGAGCACTGGTACCAACACCATTCAGTGGACCGACGGTTCCAATATTTTGACCAAGGATGTTACATTTTCAGGAGGTAACCCTTCAGTTATCCAGGGCTCTGCTGAAAACGGTGTCTATGGTTTGAGAGCCTTGGTCAACAGCAATACCAAGCAGCACTACCTCTTGGGACCAAAATGTGCCGTTGATAATATGTATGGTACCTTGACCATCAAGGTGGGCTCGGGAATGCCTCATGACTGTAACACTCTTGCAGGTGCCATTGCCAGCACGGTCAATTCATGGTACTTTCCTGAATCCGCCAACAAGAATGATGTTCAGCTTACCAAGTGTTCGGCCACTGAGGCGGTGGTGACCTTCTCAAATATCCCAGCAGGCCACAGACCTTACATGAATATCCTTACTAAAGTGATTCTGGCCACTACATCCTCGACTGCCAACTACATCTACAATATGGTTTGTAACAGAAGAAGGTTGACTGGAACGCTTAACATTCGCTGGAGCCACTACGCTACCACCGATTCCGAGTCTGAAGGTAACAACTTGCCTCTTGTCATCACCACCAATACCCATCCTACGGTCACCAACACGCAATTGTCAACCATTACTGGTACCTCAGCTAGGACTGTCATTGTGAACATTCCTATGCCTGTTACTACTGTCATTGTCACCGGAACCAACACGGAGTCCACCACTCACAGTGCTACTTCCGGGGGTACCAGAATTGTGTCGATCGATGTTCCTACTCCTACCACCACCATCACCAGGACTTGGACGGGCTCCACCACCAGAAGCGAAACTGTCACCCCAACAACTGGTGGTACTGGATCTGTCTTCATTGATGTTCCAACTCCAACGACCGTTGTCACCAGAACATGGACAGGCACTGAGACTTCCACCGAGACTGTACCAGCCACTGAAGGTGGTACTGAAAGCATTATTGTCAATGTGCCCACTCCAACCACCATAGTGACCAATACCTGGACCGGCTCTGAAACCACCACACAGACAATTCCTGCTCAAGAGGGAGGCACCGAAAGCATTATCGTCAATGTTCCTACTCCCACCACAGTTGTCACCAACACATGGACTGGTACTGAGACAAGTACAGAGACGATTCCTGCTGAGGAGGGAGGTACCGAGAGTATCATCATCAACGTCCCCACCCCTGTTGTTACCTTGACTGCCACCTGGACCGGAAGCGAGACATCTACGCAAACTTTGAATGCTACCACTGGCGGTACTCAGAGTATCATTGTCAATGTTCCCACTCCAACCACCACCCTCAGTAGAACATGGACCGGATCTGAAACATCCACTGAAACCGTCCCTGCTGGTGAAGGTGAAACCGAGAGCATCATCGTCAACATTCCTGTTCCAACCACTAGTATTGTTCTGACATGGACTGGAAACGAGACCACTACCGAGACTGTTCCTGCTACTGAGGGCGAGACTGGAAGTGTTATCGTGAAGGTGCCAGTTCCTACAACTACTTTGACGAACACTTGGACCGGATCGGAGGCAACTACTGAAACCATTCCAGCTACTGAAGGTGAAACGGGAAGTGTCATTATCAGAGTTCCAGTTCCAACCACCGTTCTCACCAAGACATGGACCGGATCTGAAACAAGCACTGAGACAGTTCCTGCTACCGAAGGTGAAACCGGAAGCATCATTGTGAATGTCCCTGTTCCTACAACTATCATCACAAGCACCTGGACTGGAAGCGAGACCACCACTGAAACTGTCCCAGCCACCGAGGGTGAAACCGGCAGTATCATTGTCAAGGTTCCCGTTCCAACTACCATTGTCACAAGTACCTGGATAGGATCCGAAACGTCTACCCAGACTGTTCCAGCTACTGAAGGTGAAACAGGCAGTATCATCGTGAACGTTCCAGTTCCAACTACCATTGTGACCAACACCTGGACAGGAAATGAAACATCGACTCAAACCATTCCAGGCACCGAGGGCGAGACCGGTAGCATCATCATCAATGTTCCAATTCCAACCACCACTTTGACCAATACCTGGACTGGAACGGAGCCTGTCACCAGAACTGTGCCTGCCAGTGAAGGTGAAACCGGCAGCGTTATCATCGATGTTCCTATTCCAACAACCACCTTCACGAGCACCTGGACCGGTTCTGAAACCACCACCGAGTCTGTTCCAGCTACAGAGGGAGAAACCGGAAGTGTGATTGTCAAAGTGCCCGTTCCTACTACTGTCATCACCAGAACATGGACCGGAGTCAACACCACCACCCACACCGTTCCTGCTACTGAGGGAGAAACCGGTAGTATCATCATTGATGTTCCGGTCCCCACCACCACCTTGTCCAGAACATGGACCGGAAACGAGACTACTACCGAGACTGTTCCAGCCACTGAAGGCGAGACAGGAAGCGTTATTGTGAATGTGCCAATTCCAGTCACCACCGTGACTAGAACGTGGACTGGTTCCGAGACCTCCAGTGTTACTGGCACTGCTACTCCTGGCGACACCAGAACTATCTTCATTGATGTTCCAACGCCAACCACCACGATCTTTTCCACCTGGTCTGGAAGCACCATCACGACCCGTACCATTCCTGCTGCTTCAGGCGGAACCGACACTGTCGTTGTGGAAGTTCCAACTCCTGTCACTGTCATTACTTCAACCTGGACCGGTCTGGACACTGAGGTGGTGACCGAGCCATTTGAATCTGGAACCCAAACCATCGTCATCAACGTCCCTACTCCTACCACCACGGTCACCAGAACATGGACCGGCACTGAGACTACCACCAACATCATCACTGCTCCTAGTGGCGGTACTGGAACGGTGATAATCGATGTGCCTACTCCATATACCACCTTGACTAGAACGTGGACCGGAACAGAGACCCAGACTGTCACGGAACCTGCTCCTTCTGGTGGCACGGGAACTGTGATCATTGATGTGCCTACTCCAGTGACGACATTGACTAACACTTGGACTGGAACTGAAACCTCGACTGAAACCATCCCAGCTGCATCCGGCGGAACTGAGACCATTATCGTCAATGTCCCTACCCCAGTTACAACGTTGACCAGAACCTGGACTGGAACTGAGGCAACCACCCAAACCGTTCCTGCTGCTTCGGGTGGTACTGAAACCGTTTTCATTGATGTGCCAACGCCTACCACTGTGATCACCAGAACATGGACAGGTTCTGAAACCACAACCCAGACCATTCCTGCTGCTTCTGGCGGAACTGACACCGTTTTCATTGACGTTCCTACCCCACAGACCTTCATCACAAGAACGTGGACCGGATCTGAAACAACGACTCAAACCGTCCCTGCTGCTTCTGGTGGAACTGAGACTTTCTTCATTAATGTGCCCACTCCGCTGACCACATTGACCAGAACATGGACTGGATCTGAAACCATCACTCAGACGGTTCCTGGTGGATCTGGCGGAACGGACACTATCTTTATTGACGTTCCTACTCCAACGACTGTGATTACCAGAACGTGGACTGGCTCTGAAACCACTACTGAAACCGTTCCAGCAGCTTCTGGCGGTACCGACACGATCTTCATTGATGTGCCTACTCCATCCACCACTTTGACTAGAACCTGGACAGGCTCCGTCACCGAGACAGAGACCCTTCCTGTGGCTTCTGGAGGAACTCAAACTTTAGTTGTCAATGTCCCCACTCCAGTCACCACTGTCACCAGAACCTGGACTGGAACTGAAACCTCTACCGAGACTGTTCCTGCTGCAAGCGGTGGAACCGAGACCTTGATTGTCAATGTTCCTACACCAGTCACCATCATCACCAGAACATGGACAGGCAGTGAGACAACAACCGAGACGGTTCCTGCTGCTTCTGGAGGTACCGAGTCTGTTTTCATCGATGTTCCTACTCCGACCACCACCATCACCAGAACCTACACCGGCACTACTGCTATCACCGAGACTATCCCAGCTCCATCTGGAGGAACTGTGACTGTGGTGGTGGATGTGCCTCCTCCAATGACCACCTTGACAAGCACCTGGACTGGCGATGTGACTACTACTCAAACTGAGCCCTTTGCATCTGGTGGTACTCAAACCGTTGTGGTCAACGTGCCTACCCCAGTGACTACTGTGTGGTCGACCTGGACCGGAACTGAAACCAGCACCCGTACTATTCCAGCCCTGGAGGGCGGTACACACACTGTGGTTGTTGAGGTTCCTACTCCAGTTACTGTTCTTACCTCCACATGGACTGGTAGCGAGACTTCTGTCGTTACACAGCCATTTGAATCTGGAACCCAGACCATCATCATTCAGGTGCCTACTCCAACGACCTCTATCACCAGAACCTGGACAGGCACTGAAACTACTACTCAAACTATCCCTGCTGGTTCTGACGGTGTCATAACTGTGGTTGTCGATGTTCCTACTCCATACACCACCTTGACTAGAACGTGGACCGGCTCCGAGACACAAACCACCACTGACCCTGCTCAATCTGGTGAAACCGGTACTGTTTTCATTGAGGTTCCTACCCCAACCACCATTGTGACTAACACTTGGACTGGAACTGAAACTTCGACTGAAACCATCCCAGCCGCCTCGGGTGGAACTGAGACTGTCATTGTGAATGTTCCTACTCCTGTTACGACGTTGACTAACACCTGGACGGGGTCTGAGACTACAACTGAGACTATACCTGCTGCATCCGGTGGAACTGAAACCGTCGTTGTGAACGTGCCCACTCCTACTACTACCTTGACCAACACCTGGACTGGTTCTGAAACATCTACTGAAACAATTCCAGCTGCTTCTGGAGGCACTGATACAGTGGTCGTCAACGTCCCAACCCCAGTTACTACCTTAGTTAGCACTTGGACCGGATCTGAAACTTCCACTCAAATCATTCCTGCTGCTTCTGGAGGCACCGAGACTGTCATTGTCAATGTTCCAACCCCGGTCACCACTTTGGTGAGTACATGGACTGGAACCGAGACTTCCACACAAACGATTCCTGCTGCTTCCGGTGGAACCGAGACTATTGTGATCAATGTTCCAACTCCAGTCACCACACTCACAAAGACGTGGACTGGATCTGAAACATCCACTGAAACCGTTCCTGCTGCTGTGGGCGAGACTGAAAGCATCATCATCAACGTTCCAACGCCCGTGACTACATTGACTAACACTTGGACTGGAAATGAGACTTCTACCGAGACGATTCCAGCAGCTTCAGGAGGTACAGAGACAATTATCGTCAACGTTCCTACCCCAGTCACCACTTCCACCAACACATGGACCGGTTCTGAAACCACCACTGTTACCATTCCAGCGGCTTCGGGCGGTACTGAAACGGTCGTGGTCAATGTGCCCACCCCCACCACTACCATCTTTTCAACTTGGTCCGGTAGCACCATCACCACTCGTACCATTCCAGCTCAATCCGGAGGTACCGACACCGTTGTCGTTGAAGTGCCTACTCCAGTTACTGTGATCACCGCAACCTGGACTGGTTCTGAAACCACCATTGTCACCGAGCCATACGAGTCTGGAACCCAAACCATCGTCGTTCAGGTCCCAACTCCAACTGCTACAATCACCCTGACATGGACCGGCAGCATCACTTCTACTGAAACTATACCCGCTGCATCCGGTGGAACCGAGACTCTTGTGGTTAATGTTCCTACACCAGTTACCACTTTTACCAATACCTGGACTGGAACTGAGACCTCTACTGAGACTATCCCTGCTGCTTCTGGAGGTACTGAAACTGTGATTGTCAACATTCCTACCCCTGTTACTACCTTGACCAACACTTGGACTGGTACTGAAACTTCAACCCAGACCATTCCAGCGGCCTCGGGTGGAACTGAAACCATTATCGTCAATGTTCCAACCCCAGTTACTACCTTGATGAGCACCTGGACCGGTTCCATCACCACCACTGTCACCGTTCCTGCTGCCTCTGGTGAAACCGAAACCGTGATCATCAACGTTCCAACTCCTGTTTCTACCTGGACCAGAACATGGACCGGTTCTGAAACCTCTACCGAGACTGTGCCTGCTGCTGTGGGAGAGACTGAAAACGTGATTATCAACGTTCCAACTCCAGTCTTCACCTCAACAAACACATGGACTGGAACTACAACCTCCACGGAAACCATTCCAGCTGCATCTGGCGGAACCGAGACCATTGTGATCAACGTCCCTACTCCAGTGACAACTTTGACCAACACTTGGACGGGTTCTGAAACCACCACGGTCACTATTCCAGCTCAGTCCGGAGGAACAGAGACCATCGTCGTGAATGTGCCTACTCCAACCACCACCATTTTCTCCACCTGGACTGGCAGTACCATCACCACCCGTACTATCCCAGCTGAATCTGGCGGAACTGATACCGTTGTTGTCGAGGTGCCTACCCCAGTCACCGTTGTCACATCTACTTGGACTGGCTCTGAAACTACCATTGTGACAGAATCGTTCGAGTCGGGCACTCAGACCATTGTGGTCCAGGTTCCAACGCCAACTGAGACTCTCACTCAGACCTGGACTGGTACCACCACCTCCACCCAAACCATCCCAGCTTCTCCTGGTGGCACCGACACCTTGATTGTCAATGTTCCCACCCCCACCTCCATGATCACCAGAACGTGGACTGGCTCTGAGACCACCACTGTGACGGTTCCAGCCGAATCTGGCGGAACAGAAATCATCATCGTGGAGGTTCCAACTCCTCTGACTGTCATCACGAGAACCTGGACTGGATCTGAAACCACCACCCAAACTGTTCCTGCTGCTTCTGGAGGAACCGACACGATTTTCATCGATGTGCCTACTCCAACAACCGTGGTCACCAGAACCTGGACTGGCACCACCACAAGCACTGAGCAGGTTCCTGCTGCTTCTGGTGAGACTGAAACTTTGATTGTTCACGTTCCAACCCCAGTCACCTCCATCACTAGAACATGGACTGGCACTACCACAAACACGGAGACCATTCCAGCCAATTCTGGTGGTACCGAAACGGTCGTTGTCAATGTGCCCACCCCAACTACCACCATCTTCTCCACTTGGACTGGAAGCACCATCACCACTCGTACCGTTCCAGCTCAATCCGGAGGTACCGACACCGTTGTCGTCGAGGTTCCTACACCCATCACTGTGGTGACTTCTACCTGGACTGGTACCGAGACTTCTGTGATCACCGAGTCGGCTGAATCTGGTACTCAAACCATCGTTGTTCAGGTTCCAACACCCACCACTACTATCACCAAGACTGCCACTGGCTCGATGACTGAAACCCAGACTATTCCTGCTGGTTCAGATGGTGTGGTGACTGTGGTTGTTGAGGTTCCTCCTCCATTTGACACCTTGACTTCCACCTGGACTGGAACCACCACGGAGACTGTCACTGAGCCACCTGCTGGTTCCGATACTACTGGCACCGTGATTGTTTTGGTTCCTGAGACTTCCTTGGAGTACTCCACTGTGACCTCAACCTGGACCGGATCGACCACTAGAACCATCACCCAGCCACCTTCTGGTTCCGACACCATCGGAACTGCTGTCGTTGAGGTTCCACCTACCGCCGTGGCAGAAACTGATTTCCATGAGGTGCCTGTTTCAGAATTCGACACTTTGACCTCTACTTGGACCGGAAGCACCACCAGAACAACCACTGTTCCACCTTCGGGCTCCAGCGGCGTGGGAATCGTGATTGTTGAAGTCCCAGAAACCTCGCTTGACTACACCACGTTGACTTCTTCTTGGACTGGCACGAACACGAGAACTACTACCATGTCTCCATCTGGAAGCGCTACGGTTGGCACTGTCATCGTGGAAACTCCAGCATCTGAAACCGACTTCCCTACTGTGACATCCACATGGACCGGCTCCACCACGAGAACCACCACAATGTCTCCATCTGGAACTGACCCTGTTGGCACTGTCATTGTCGAGGTTCCAGCTGCATCCACGGACTACTCAACCTTGACTTCTACTTGGACTGGATCTTCAACGAGAACTACCACCGTTCCAGGCTCTGGCTCCGACATTGGTACTGTCATTGTCGAAGTACCACCCACCGATGACTACACCACCTTGACCTCCATTTGGACTGGTTCAACCACACGCACTGTCACCAATGGTCCTGGTGAATCTGGTTCTGTCGGAACCGTTATTGTCGAGGTTCCATCTTCCACTGCTGACTTCTCCACCGTGACTTCCACATGGACAGGAAGCGTTGTTACCACAGAGACCCAGCCACCTTCGGGCTCTGACACTGTCGGTACTGTTGTGATCAAGGTTCCAGCCTCCACCCCACTCAACCCCGGTTCTTGGAACTGGAACTCGTCTTACGTTCCATCGGCGCTGATTAACTCTGGTTTCACCTCTGTGACCACCAATGCTTACACCACGGATGATTCACACACAACAAAGGATTCTGATGTGACCGACTCCTCCAGAATCACCGTGACGACTAACGATATACCCGCTATTACTACCGGCTCCTTGACCTCTAACAAAATCCTGGACGCCACCCATTCCCCAACTACAATTGCTGGCGAGCCTGTGGAGCTGCCTGTGGGAGAAAACCCAGCCCACTCCATTCCATCTAATCCTGAGCAGCCTTCTACTGAGGAGCCTTCTACCGAGGAGCCCTCCCTTGAGAACAACCCAGGTGCTGGAAACGGACCTAATGATGACGAAGGCGCTGTCGAATCTTCTTCCTCATCATCTGCTACTGCCACAACAATCTGTCATAAGGGCAAGTGTGCTACCATTTCTGCCACTGACAGTAACACCGAACCAACCATAGCAGTGCAGCCAACTTCTGCATCCTACAATCCACAGGGATCTCCTCAAGCCTCCGGCTACCCAGCAATCTCAACTTACACTGGCTCGGCTTCTAGCCTCCAAGTTTCCGGATTTTTTGCCATCTTCTTGACGTTGCTTCAAATAGTTATGTGAGATAACCATCTCAGCTGTTCATAATTGACACACTTGCATAGATAACGATTCTAATAGATAATTTGTGAATATTCCGGCGTGCGTAGCAATCTCAGGAGCTTATTGCTTATCTTATTGCAAACTCACTGTTAGCTGACACGAAAAATTCAAGCGCGTTAAAGGTGTTTGAAAACATGAGCTAGTGAAGTGCAACGAAGAGCATTTTAACGAACAGTATTAATCTCTAAAAGATTGGAGGAGGTCCACAGTACCCCTGAGAGCTCTTGCCTATTAAAAATCGCCGTACCTGATTTTTGACACAATATTTTAAAGTCATTTTCATGCAGCGAACGCAAAATCGCACAAAATAAGCGAAATGCTTGTTCATGTTTACAATACCAGAAATCCTCAAACAGGTACAAAAAATAACAAAAGTCTAAAACAACCGAAAATTTTCTCTTCTTGGTTTCAAATTGGGGCTTAAATCAAAAGAACGTAAAGAAAAGGCAGAAACGCTATCAATAAGGAAGGTGAAAAAGCTCGTTGAAGTTCACTATGTGAAAAACCTAAAAAAGAGCACAAAAACCATCATGTAGTTCAGCATCCGAGGTCCAACCAAGGAATTATGTTCCACAGTTTAGTCTATCAGTGGCTCGTTGAAGCCCTTTTTGTAATACTTCTATTAGTACACTTCAACGCTCTATTTCGCCGAGACGGTATAAGTTGCTCTTGAGAAAAAAGAGGGGAAGTAACGCTAGAGAACTCATCGTTCATTCTCAGCTAGAGGACCACTTCAAATGGACACAAAGCCATGAAAATCTTGTACGTCATCGGTCCCGCATGGTCGTGTGATTCTCTGCATAATCTGATATGGCCAAACTGCTATGCTACGTCCCCAGACATGTTGACACACCTCAACAACACAGCTCTTAAGTACCAACAATTCAAGCAAATTTCAATCTAAAATCAAGAAAATCTCGTTGTCTCACCGGTATCAAAAGTTTGGTTGCTCAATGACGGAATTTTCCGAATTTCATCTCGCGTCGCGCCCCCAACTCGTCCACATGCGTATTATGCATCGTCGCTTAAATGAGAGGTGCGATACAGTGCCGTGTGATGAATCTCGAGAGAAGGGAAGTAGGTGTCACAAAGTCTGGAGAAAGCTTCGCTCACCTTAACAGCTGGCCGTGAACATACCATTGAACTTTAACTGCTTTCGGCTATGGTCCGACATAAAAAGTCGACTCTTTGCCGGGTGGCTGGAGCAAACGACGACGCATGTCTCACCTTATTCTGCACCAGAGTTCTTAATACCATCTTTGGAACGCACGGCAATTGGTACGGCGCCGCCATAGCGACCAAAAGTAGCAAGTCAGAGTTACCCGCTAGGGTTGAGTAGTTAGAGGCTTTGAGCTCAGCCGTAGCGTATGCCGCATTATGAGCATTGGCGAAGCTCAAATAGGCGAACTCAGTGGCATGTGTAGCGAGTAAGGCGTTGGTTGCTTCACATCATCTGATGCAAGCGTGTAAAGCAAAATAGGCGCAGGGTACTCCGCTTGGGAAAGCAGGACCGAGGAGTTTATACTTAGGAACACGAACAAAATGTTCTGAATGTAGCAGCCTTGTGCAGATATCGTCCCTGCGTTCGCAAGTCGATCATTCGTACATATAGAGCTCGGATGGAAATTAAATAATTGTTTGGTGTAGCTTAGCTGTCAAACAGCGAGGATCCTCTTCTGGGGAAATGATATCAACTTTTCGGGAATTCACATTATGGCTTTGATAGCGAGCGTTAGTTGCAAGCACAGAAGTTTTTCAGATGTCGCATAGGTTGCTCTGCAGCGAAAACGCAAGGTCGGCGTGTTGTTCTTCATCTCAGTATAAGCACCTCGGCTAAAGAGAGTGTTTTTGTCCAAAATAGCCCCAGGAATGTACCGAAAACTGCAGGCGCCACACCCAAATGTGTGAGTTATGCATAGCTGAAATTGAGCTGCAAATTGAAGCTTCGGTTTTAGACCAAGCCTCAGCGTTTTTTTTTATTTGGAAGTCCGGCGGCAATAGGAAGCTTTCTTGAGTGGCTTCATAATTTTCTGCAATTTTTTTTCTTCAGGCTTATAAAATAGACGCCCCTGCTTTTCGATAAGCTGCACCATGAATTTCCTTTTATTGTGGGTTAGCATCCTCTTTCAGGCTTCCTTAGCGTTAGCCGCCGTCAAAGAGGGTGTTTTCACCTCCATTGAATCACTCACACCACCCAGTAATGGACGACCAAATGTTGTTGGTTGGAACGCTGTGGTGAATTACAAAATTACAAGCGATATGAATATGAAGAACGGCGACACTTTCACGTTGCACATGCCGTATGTGTTTAAATTCACATCGTCATCTTCGACTTTGCAAATAAAGTCCGGCTCCACAGTGGTAGCCAACTGTAACTTATTCACTGGAGATATTCTCGTGAACTTTTCTGAAGTGCAGTGTACTGCTACTTCGGCAGTTGAAACTTTGGGCGAGGTCTCAGGTAAAATTACATTGCCAATTACCTTCAATGCTGGTTGGGCTTCTGATCAGATCAGTTTGGAGGCTGCCTCCATGTGGAGCGCTGGAACTAACACTGTGACTTGGTCTGACGGTCTGACAAAATTGAGTAAGACAACCTCCTTCACAGCAGGTAACCCTTACGTCTTTAACGGAGGCTCTGACAACGGTGTTTATGGTTTGAGAACTTTGGTTAACGGTGACCTTAAGCAGCACTATCTCTTGGCTCCAAAGTGTCTGAAGGACGGTATGTCTGGTACTTTGTCGATCAAGCTGACGGCCGATGTGCCTCTTGATTGTAGCAGTCTTACCGGTGCATTCACAAGCTCTGTCAACGCGTGGTTACTTCCACAAACCGCTGGAACTTCCGGAGTGTCGATCTCCTCTTGTTCTGAAACCGAGGCAGTTGTTGCATTCACAAACATCCCTGCAAACAACAGACCATACATCAATGTCCTCAATGGATACATCAAGACAAGTACTTCGTCCACTGCAACCTATTCATACAATTTGATTTGTGACGGCCAGCCTTTAACTGATTCGTATGCAACCCGTTGGACTTATTACACCAACACTGATCCAAACGCAGATGGAGGCAATTTGCCTGTCGTGATCACCACAGTCACTGACCCTACAATCAGTCTGACGGGTATTGCCACTAGAACCGGCACTGCTGCTAAGACCATCGTGGTGAATGTTCCAATGTCTGTGACCACAGTGACCGTTACTGGTACCAACACCGGATCCACAACCCAAACGCTTACTTCCGGAGGAACTAGAATTGTGTCTGTGAATGTGCCCACTCCGACATCCACGGTCACTAGAACTTGGACAGGATCTACCGCCAGAACCGAGACAATCACTGCCCTGACTGGAGGTACTGGCTCCGTTATTGTCGATCTTCCATCCCCAACCACAACTATCACCAGCACCTGGACTGGCTCAGTCGCATCGACGCAGACCATCACTGCTCTGTCTGGAGGAACTCAGTCTTTAATCGTGAACGTTCCTGTTCCAACCACTACTGTGACCAGCACAGGAACTGGATCAGTAGCAACCACCTCAACTGTTCCTGCTAGTGCAGGCCAGACCGGCAGTGTAATTGTCATTGTGCCTGTTCCAACATCCACCGTCACAAGCACTTGGACTGGATCTGTTGCCACCACCCAAACCATCCCCGCAAGTGCTGGTCAAACTGGCAGTGTTATCGTCAACGTCCCTGTTCCCACGACCAGCGTCACCAGAACTTGGACCGGCTCTGAAACATCCACTGAAACAGTGCCAGCAACCGCAGGTGGAACCGGAAGCGTCATAGTCCACGTTCCGATCCCAACCACCAGTGTCACGAGAACATGGACAGGATCCGAAACCTCTACGGAGACTGTGACCGCTAGTGAAGGCCAGACGGGCAGCATCATTGTGCATGTGCCAATTCCAACATCGTCCATCACGAGAACATGGACTGGTTCCGAGACTTCCACTGAGACCGTGACTGCAAGTGAGGGCCAAACAGGCAGTGTGATTGTCCATGTTCCAGTTCCCACCACGACGGTTACAGGAACCTGGACCGGGTCTGAAGCCACCACTATCACCGTTTCGGCAAGTGAGGGAGAGACCGGAAGCGTTATTGTCAACGTTCCAATTCCCACCACCTCCATCACCAGAACATGGACCGGTTCTGAGGCATCTACTGAAACCGTCACAGCAAGCGAGGGCGAAACAGGCAGCGTTATCGTTTACGAGCCTGTTCCAACAACCACCTTCACCAGTACACGGACAGGATCGGAAGCCACTACCCAGACAGTTACTGCCAGCGAAGGCCAGACCGGAAGCGTCATTGTGATTGTTCCAATTCCAACCTCCACCATCACGAGCACATACACCGGTTCCGAGACTTCCACCGAGACCATCACCGCCTCTGAGGGAGAAACCGGAAGCATCATAGTGCATGTCCCTGTTCCAACCACCACCGTGACAAGAACATGGGGTGGTTCCGAGACTTCCAGTGGAACCATCACTGCTGGACCTGGTGAGACCGGAACCGTTTTTATTGATGTTCCCACCCCAACAACCACCCTCTTTTCGACTTGGACTGGTACTGCCATCACCACACGGACTATTCCAGCTGCTTCGGGAGGTACCGACACCGTTGTCATTGAAGTTCCAACGCCAATCACCGTGATCACCTCCACCTGGACCGGCCTGGAGACCGAGATCGTCACCGAGCTGTTTGTTTCTGGAACTCAGACCATCATCATCAATGTTCCTACACCAACCACAACCATCACCAGGACATGGACAGGAAGCGAAACTTCCACCGAAACCGTGCCTGCTCTGGAGGGAGGTACTGGTGCCGTCATTGTGAATGTTCCTACTCCTGTGACCACAGTTACTAGAACATACACTGGTTCTGAAGCCACCACTGAGACTGTTCCTGCAGCCTCGGGAGGCACCGAGACTGTTTATGTTGATGTTCCTACACCTCTGACTATTATCACAAGAACATGGACTGGATCCGAAACGACCACTCAGACCATTCCAGCGGCTTCTGGAGGTACAGACACCATTTACGTTGATGTTCCTACACCACTGACTGTCATCACCAGAACCTGGACGGGATCTGAAACTACTACTCGTACTGTTCCTGCTGCTTCTGGAGGAACTGACACCATCTATGTTGAAGTCCCCACTCCACTGACCATTGTGACTAGTACATGGACTGGATCTGAAACAACGACTCAGACTATCCCAGCGCAAAGCGGCGGAACCGATACCATTGTTGTTGTTGTCCCTACTCCTTCTACTACCCTTACCAGCACCTGGACGGGATCTGAGACCACCACGCAAACAATTACTGCCGAGTCTGGAGGCACCAACACGATTGTTGTTATTGTGCCCACACCATACAGCTCTGTTGTTCAGACTTGGACTGGAAGCACCACCAGTACAGAGACCCTTCCTGCTGCCTCTGGAGAAACAGGTACAATTATTGTCCATGTTCCAACTCCACAGACTACCGTGACTAGAACGTGGACAGGTACTGAGACCAACACCGTGACGCTTCCTGCCGAATCTGGTGGCACGGATACTGTTGTGCTTGAGGTCCCAGCACCACAGACAACCGTCTCGTCTACATGGACTGGATCTACTACGAGAACCGTGACTTTGACTGCTTCTCAGTCGGGCGACGAAAACACCGTTGTTGTTGAAGTTCCAGCTACTGATGCCCCAACTTTGACGTCCACTTGGACAGGATCGACCACTAGAACTGTCACGTTGACTGCTTCTCAGTCTGGAGATGAGGATACTGTCATCGTTGAAGTTCCTGCTACTGACTCTCCAACTTTGACGTCCACTTGGACAGGTTCGACCACTAGAACTGTTACGTTAACTGCTTCTCAGTCTGGAGATGAGGATACTGTGGTTGTCGAGGTTCCTGCTACTGATGTGCCAACCTTGACGTCTACTTGGACTGGAAGCACTACGAGAACGGTCACTATTTCCGCTACACAGTCGGGTGACGAGGATACCGTTGTTGTTGAAGTTCCTGCTACTGGTTCTCCTACTTTGACGTCTACTTGGACTGGAAGCACTACGAGAACGGTCACTATTTCTGCTACACAGTCGGGTGACGAAGATACCGTGGTTGTTGAAGTTCCTGCTACTGGTTCTCCTACTTTGACGTCCACTTGGACTGGAAGCACTACCAGAACTGTTACCTTGACTGCCTCTCAATCAGGTGACGAGGATACTGTTGTCGTTGAGGTTCCTGCTACCGACTCTCCAACTTTGACTTCTACATGGACTGGCTCTACCACCAGAACGGTCACCTTGAGTGCCTCTCAATCAGGCGATGAGGATACTATTGTTGTCGAGGTTCCAGCTACTGATGTGCCAACCTTGACCTCCACTTGGACCGGCAGCACCACGAGAACGGTCACTATTTCTGCTACTCAGTCGGGTGACGAAGATACCGTGGTTGTTGAAGTTCCTGCAACTGATCTTCCCCATTTGACTACCACGTGGACTGGCTCTACTACAAGAACCGTCACTATTTCTGCTACTCAATCTGGAGATGAAGATACCGTGGTTGTTGAAGTTCCTGCTACCGACTCTCCAACCTTGACGTCTACCTGGACTGGCTCTACCACTAGAACCGTCACCTTGAGTGCCTCTCAGTCTGGTGATCAAGACACTGTCATCGTTGAAGTTCCTGCAACGGATTCCCCAACTTTGACCTCCACTTGGACTGGATCTACCACTAGAACGGTCACTTTGACTGCCTCCCAATCTGGAGATGAAGATACTATCGTTGTCGAGGTTCCAGCTACTGATGTGCCAGCCTTGACATCGACTTGGACAGGATCTACTACGAGAACGGTCACTATTCCTGCCACTCAGTCGGGTGAGGAGGACACTGTCGTCGTTGAAGTTCCTGCAACGGATTCCCCAACTTTGACCTCCACTTGGACTGGATCTACCACTAGAACGGTCACTTTGACTGCCTCCCAATCTGGAGATGAAGATACTATCGTTGTCGAGGTTCCAGCTACTGATGTGCCAGCCTTGACATCGACTTGGACAGGATCTACTACGAGAACGGTCACTATTCCTGCCACTCAGTCGGGTGAGGAGGACACTGTCGTCGTTGAAGTTCCTGCAACAGATTCCCCAACTTTGACCTCCACTTGGACTGGATCTACAACAAGAACCGTGACTTTAACCGCTACTCAATCCGGAGAAAAGGATACCGTTGTTGTTGAAGTTCCTGCTTCTGTGGCTGGTTCGACTGTGACCTCCACTTGGAGTGGATCTACGACTAGAACTGTTACAGTAAGCGCTACTCAATCTGGCGATGAAGATACAGTCGTTGTGGAAATCCCCGCTACTGATTATCAGACTTCTACATGGACCGGTACGACAACGAGAACAGTCACCTTGAGCGCTTCTCAGTCTGGTGACCAAGACACTGTCGTCGTCGAGGTTCCTGCAACTGATCTCCCCCATTTGACTACAACCTGGACTGGAAGTACTACTAGAACCGTCACCTTGAGTGCTACTCAGTCGGGTGATGAGGATACCGTCATCGTTGAAGTTCCTGCTACTGGCTCTCCAACTTTGACATCGACCTGGACAGGATCTACTACGAGAACGGTCACTATTCCTGCCACTCAATCGGGTGAGGAGGACACTGTCGTCGTTGAGGTTCCTGCCACTGTTACTGGCTCGACCGTCACCTCCACTTGGACTGGATCCACTACCAGAACAGTGACCTTGACCGCTACTCAATCAGGTGATGAGGATACCATTGTTGTTGAAGTGCCTGCGACTGCTACAGATGCCTCCACTTTAACTTCAACTTGGACTGGCTTAACCACCAGAACCGTGACTTTGAGTGCCTCTCAATCTGGTGACCAGGATACTGTCGTTGTCGAAGTACCAGCTTCTGCAACACCAACTTTGACATCGGCCTGGACTGGTTCTACCACCAGAACCACTACCTTGACTGCTACTCAACCCGGTGAACAAGACACAGTCGTTGTTGAAGTCCCATCTACCGAGGGATCAACCTTGACCGAGACTTGGACAGGATCTACCACTAGGACTGTGACTTTGAGTGCTTCTCAATCTGGTGACCAAGACACCGTTGTTGTGGAGGTTCCAGCAACTGCTACCGATGCTTCTACTTTGACTTCCACGTGGACCGGCTCTACTACCAGAACCGTCACCTTGAGTGCTTCGCAGTCTGGTGACCAAGACACAGTTGTTGTTGAAGTCCCAGCAACTGCTACCGATGCTTCCACTTTGACTGCCACATGGACTGGCTCTACCACTAGAACCGTCACCTTGACCCCTACTCAATCTGGTGAACAAGAGACTGTCGTTGTTGAAGTGCCTTCTGATGGGGCATCTACCTTGACATCCACCTGGACTGGTTCAACTACCAGAACTGTCACCTTGACCCCTACTCAATCTGGTGACCAAGAGACTGTGATTGTTGAAGTGCCAGCCACTGCTACCGATGCGTCGACTTTGACATCTACCTGGACTGGCTCTACTACCAGAACTGTTACTTTGAGTGCAACCCAGTCTGGTGACCAAGACACTGTCGTTGTGGAGGTTCCAGTGACCGTTGCCGGTGCCTCAACTTTGACTTCTACTTGGACAGGTAGCACCACGAGAACATCAACCTTAACTGCTACCCAATCGGGTGACGAAAACACGGTTATTGTTGAAGTGCCTTCCGATGGAGCATCTACGTTGACTTCTACATGGAGTGGATCCACCACCAGAACTATTGTTTTGACACCTACTCAATCTGGTGACCAGGAAACCGTTGTCGTCGAGGTTCCATCTACTGAAACTCCAACGTTGACATCCACCTGGACTGGTTCTACCACCAGAACCATTGTTTTGACACCTACCCAATCGGGTGACCAAGAGACTGTCGTTGTTGAAGTGCCTTCCGAAACTGGAACTCCAACCTTGACTTCTGCTTGGACTGGATCTACTACCAGAACTACCACTTTGCCGCCCGCTGGCACTGACACAATTGGTACTGTTGTCGTCGAGATTCCTTCCGAAACTGAAACTGGAACTCCAACCTTGACCTCCGCTTGGACTGGCTCTACTACCAGAACCACCACCTTGCCACCATCTGGCACTGATACCGTCGGTACAGTTGTTGTCGAGGTTCCTTCCGGAGCTGAAACTGGAACTCCAACCTTGACTTCTGCTTGGACTGGCTCTACTACCAGAACCACCACCTTGCCACCAGCTGGTACTGACACCGTCGGTACTGTCGTGGTTGAGGTTCCATCTACCGGAGACTTTACCACCTTGACATCTACATGGACAGGTTCTGAGCCTTCTACTGAGACCAAACCACCTTCGGGAACGGACACGGTTGGCACTGTGATTGTCAACGTTCCATCTTCTTCTGGACCATGGAACTTGAACCCTGCTCCAACTAACGGTGGCAACGAACCTGCTCCTACTAACGGTGGTAACGGACCTGCTCCTACTAACGGTGGTAACGGACCTGCTCCTACTAACGGTGGTAACGGACCTGCTCCTACTAACGGTGGTAACGGACCTGCTCCTACTAACGGTGGTAACGGACCTGCTCCAACTAATGGTGGCAACCAGCCTGCTCCAGGAACAGGTGGTGACAACACCGAAGGTGGTCCAGCACCATCTGGCACGCCATCTAACCCCGAGAACCCCGAGAACCCATCTCCTTCGAACGGCCCCGGTGTGGGCAATGGACCTGCTGGAGACACCGTTTCTGAGCCCGCACCTGCTACTGACCTGACCATCTGTAACTACGGCAAGTGTGTCACCATTTCGGCCACTGATGGTAACACCGGAGCTACAGGTACTGATGGTAACACCGGAGCTACAGGTACTGATGAACCTAACCCATCGATCGCTATTCAACCAAGCGGTTCTCAGAATGGTAACCCAGTGGCTTCTTCTCCTGCCACTGGAATCCCAGCCGTTTCCTCATACGAGGGCTCGGCCTCGAGCCTCAAGGTATCGGGACTTTTTGCTATTTTCTTGACGTTGATTCAGATAATTGTTTAAGGGATAGTTCCCTAATTTCATACCACAGGGAGAGTCTCAACGTGACCCCCTATAGATATCCTTTTTAATGAAAGTATTATGTATTTTGAAGTAGTTGCTGATGCACGGATTCGGTTCGGTTTATCCTACAATTATTATTTTGGTTGAAATTCAATTGAGCTAAGTATCTAGACAATTGTGCACATGAAAGGCACAGCACCAGGACCAGCGGGCTTATTCAAGTTGTTGTCCTTGGGAGTGTTGTTCTTGTTTTGAGTAGTAGTTTGAGCGGCCATTTTGTTTGATTTTTGGATGATGAAAATGGAGGGAAATCAGTCCATATTTATAGTACGAATTGTTTCAGGCTGTTTCATGGATGGTGGCTTTGACGTTCCAAATATCTTCCATCTTTGGAATCTCAATGGAACTATGTTTCATGAAAATACCTTTTTTGGCGTGGCAATGGACTAAGGCTGAAGTTTGCTTTCAAAAACGTGGATCATATTGGTTATAGAACGCTAATGTGTTTCAGATTGTGGCTCTGCATTACCTATTTGGTGTCTTTAATAGGCCAGTCCGTAAGTCGTCCAGCAGCATAGGCATTTTTCACTTCCACAAATGACACCATCTCCAATAAAACCCGCCTAAATAGAGGCTGCTTCACTCCTCCCCACCGCTGAATCAGCAGCGGAGTTCGGCTCACCAAAAATGCCTTGTAAAAGACGCGGAATCAAAAGATAAAGTATCGAGAAAAGCAAAAACATCGCAATTAGCGTCCAGGATTGCCTCAAGGCAATACCCAAGGCGCCAAAAACGATAGCCACTATGATGGTTATTTCGTCTCTCACTCCAATCCATACCAATAGAATGATCACTGCAACATAAACGAGGG